CCCCTCAGGCCCACGTCTCGGAATCAGATAAAATTTACATTTTTAGAAACCTCGTACTCTCACGAGTTCATACATACCAAGAACACTGAAATCAGGGTCTAAATGACCCCTCAAATCCTCATTTTAAGGCCTCTTAAACTCAAGCCCTAATTACCCCTTTTTCCCAAATTTCTCATCACTAATTAGGTCTTTAATCACATAAAAACGAGTTAGGAAGTCAAAAAGGTTACCTCCAAGTAATTCCCCTTTGTTTCCTCAAAAGTCTCTCTCAAAAGCTTCAAACCCGGATGAAAATGGTGAAAGAATGGCTCAATTTCGCAAAGGCAACTAAATATAGGTTCTACCCAGCGATTCCCGCATTTGCGACCCTGAGACCGCATCTGCGGTCCCGCTTCTATGGAACCTACATCGCATCTGCGACATTCATTAAATGACCCAGAAACCGCATCTGCGGTTGGCCTTCCGTAGATGCACCACCGCTTCTGCGGTATTCCTTCTGTATCTGCGGAACCTAAAGGAAAGTCCAAAATCCGCTTCTGCGGTCTTCTTAGCCGCATCGGCGGCGCCGCAACTGTGGTTCCCAAACCGCGGATGCGAAAATACTAGAAGAAGCAAAAAAAATACAGCAGCTATCCTATGGCCGTCTTCACACTGTTCTCACTATGGAAAAATTTTCAAGACTTAAGCTATCCTTTGGGGAATAAGTGTCCCAAAACCCTTCTAAACTCAAAACGGAACGCCCCGGCAAATCAAAATAGCAGAAATAAGCTTGGGAAAAGCGGCTAATAGGGGATCGAGGCGTAAATTCTTAAGAGGACCGGTCGGGTCCTCACAAGATGTTACATACAAAGAATGGGGAATGCTGCTAATAGCGATTTGGATAGAAGAATGCGGCTACAGTAGGTTTCGGAGCTTACCGTGATCCTTGGCTTCCCAACGAGCTCGGGATAAATCGTGACACTCGCTCAGCATATGGGCAGATAGAATACAAGCGGCCGACCTAATCCCGGAGATCCGGAACCACGCCAGGGTAGGTCGCTACGGCTGAAATGGTATGAGAAAGTAAAATTAGATGCTTGGAGAAATATTGTCAAAGAGAAGCAAAGGAAGTCTAGATAATACGCCTACTTACGCCCCGCGTTCCACTTCTCAGGGAACGACATCTTCTCCGCCGGAATCAAGTCGGAAGTCCTCACTCGGACAAATCGGCTCACCCATCCTCCATTCCCGAGCTTGTCGGTACAGGCAAAGAGAGACCCCGGGGCTCGACAGCGGAGCTTGATTAGGCCCCCGCGGAGGAGACGAGGGCTATACATCCTGATCAGGTGGTTGAGGGTGAAGGGCATCTTTTCGATCATGTTTGTGTAATGCCTGATCATATAAACGACGCGCCAGAATGAAGGATGAATTTGACCAAGGGTTACCTGATACCACCGGCAGAAATCGAGAATCACGGGGTCGATCGGGGGCGAGGATGGCCCCACCGGCCCTAAGGTGAATGAATAGGTATACACACTTAGAAAGCCGGCCTTATATGCCGTAATATCTTCTTCCTGAGCAGGGACCTCCACAAGCACGGTATCCCCCCAGCGGCAGTCAGTTTTCACCCTTCCGACGTCCATTATCGAGCTGGTGTACCGAATCACAAGCTCGCAATGCCCTGGCTTCGAGGAAGGTCTCTCGACCTTAAAATCAGAAGTCATCGCAAAGGATCCGGGGACACATTCGTCAGCGCGGGGAGGTGTGGCCACTTCAGCTTGAGATAAAATCGAAGATGATGAGACCGCAATCTTCTAAGAAGCAGATGCGGAAGTTTTCGCCATTACTAGAAGATTCCGAAAGAAGAAAAAGAGTTGCGAAGACAAGGGAAGAGAGAACCTTTTCTGGGGTTTGGGAACACAGTGGGTTAAATAAAATAAGAAGGGGAGAAGGGAAGTATTTATAGAAGCTCCGCGTGCGCATTGAAGAAGGTCAAGGGACAACCAACTGCCACAATCAATACGGTGATTTTCAGGGGCTACGTGCGTATCGTATCTTGGCGTCTTGCGACCGATGCCGATTACAAGAACACCTGAGGAGGAAGAAGCTCAGGATCGTTTCTTATTGCCTTCACTCTAAGAAACGCGGAGACTATCTGTGTACGGTAAAACCGGGGGGGGGGGGGGGAGATTTCCCTGTCATTGGGTTACCCCGAACAACGGGTCCGATTTCCCACTTCGGAAGATCACCTCGTAGCCTCGAGGTTGCAAAGATGCGCTCGAGTCTCCTTCCCCGGGGCGGGTCGATACCCGGCCTGAGTAGAATATCGGTCGAGGCTAGAGTAAAAATAGGGAGTTCCCAAGACACACAACTAAGTCTAACAAAGTCTAGCCGGCCTACTCTGAACCCAGATCAGGGTGTCACATCTAGCTGTACCATCTCTATATTTTTGCATTTAATGTATGTCGCACCATATAAGGTTTCCCCCTCTATATAAAGGGGATCCTGACTATTTTGCAAAGGACTGATGTTGCTCCAACTATTCTACACGAAATATATGATAACTCTCTCTCTCTTTTCTCTCTAACACGTTCTCTCGATATTGTTGCTCTTATTTACTATCTTCATATTTGTTCTTCATTTATTGCTTATCATTGGCCATAAAGAGCCTCTTTTAATTATTTCACGACTGTTAACCCTTCCCCAACTGCTCCTAATAGCTCGAGCCCGAGCTCGGGAATCAATCTCGAGGCCCCAAATCGACTAGCTCGAGGTCCCGAACGGCTGACTTATCGGTTCGATTATTACTCTGTTTTAGCTCGCGTTTCGTCCTTAAACTTCACACTCATAGCATCAATTGCTTCACAACTAGCATAAAAATAGATCACGTATTTTTAGAGTCCCATCAACAAATTTAATTGTTATTACCATTTTCACGGTAAACATATTTGATTATGTGGTTCTAAAAATACGTGATTTATTCTAACGCTAGTTGTTGGGCAATAGATGCTAAGTATGAGTAAAGGAAATAAGAAATGCAAACTAATATGGGCACAACAAGGCCGGCCTTCGAGCTAGCTGGAGCAGGGCCTCGAGGTCTAGACGGGCTAATAGCCAAGAACGATTGATGAAGAATCAATGATAATGAGGGCCTTAAAAATGGCCTTTAGGGGTTAATGATGAGCAATAAATGAAGAGCAATAATGAACAATGGAAGAATAAGCAATAAATATGAAGAACAATAGTGTTAGTAAAGAGTAGAGAATGTTGTGTTGTATTCAATGTGTTGTGTAAAAATAATCTGAGATCTCCCTACAAGATGACAAGGGTCCCCTTTATATATTGGGGGGGGGGGGGGGAGGGGAGATCTTTGTATAGTACACGTCTAATCATGATAGGGAAATACTATTGATACAGCTGTGTAACGACTCAGTATGGATTTGTACTATTCTTTGCAGACTTTGTGAGTCCTCATCACGTGCCCTCGGGAACCTTCCGCTTTTCATAACAGCCATCGATCCACATGTTGCCTCGAGGAGCGTCATGGCGAGTCTTCGATATGTCCTGCCGAGGTGAGTGCTTCAAGGATAAGCCTCGGGTTATGCTTCGATCCCATCGAGGCCGGGCTTTGCAAATGCCATCGAAGCCCTAAAATCGGTCTTCCCTGATTTTGACCGCATACAGATAGTCCCCGCGTTCCTTGGAATGAGATAACAAGGAGTGATTTGAATTTTTAGGTGAATTACATATCCTTAAAACCACTTATAAGTCTAGTTGTAATCCGATTTTAAGGGTAAACATTAATTACGACCATTTGTCTGCATCTAAGTATGTGCATTTGATGACATCAAGTTCCTATATCATTTAGCTTATGTGGAATGTATCTTTATGCATAAGGCTAGTTTTAGAACTTAAGAAGCCAATTCTTTTTCTTGGAAAAAAATATATTTCAAACCTATACCAAATAAAAACGACTATACTCCCTATCTCATCTTATAACATATTGCGGTTTGTAGTACTTTCTGTATGACATGTCTTTTGGTAAATTTTCTGTTCGAACACCAAGGACTTAATTTCCAAATTCATAAAATTAGATAGGTTAACCCTTGTATTTCGAATCACATCATTATTTTTTGAACAGAGGGAGTATTTCTTAGGGAGTGGTTTGAATTGAACTGTGCAGTGATCTGGTCTTAGCGTTTTTCTCAGTCCTGCTATTTTATCTTTTGTTATTATGTAAAATCCTTGTTCTACTTCAGTGAATATTTCAAAAGGCACACGCTCTTCCTGAACCAGAGGATATGCCTTGAATAAAACAAGAAAAATATCAGTCAATTTGGAAGTTTGTAGAAAGATATTTTCCCTTGGATGGAAACATAAGTGTAGGCTAATAGTTCACTGAGTCAATTCTTATCTCTCCAAGCTTCTTATTTTTGGTTGAAAAGATCTCCTCTCAAAAGCTTTTAAAAAGATATAAACAAGAGCGCCAAGTTCCCTGCATAGCAATGGCTTCCATTCCTACCCCATCACATTCTATTCAAACCACTAATGCATCAAGAACTAACTTCCCTTGTGTACCAATAAATAAACCAATTCACAAGAAGTTACATATTTGCTTGAATAAATATTCTCTTAGAGTAGAGTCTTGTAGCACTCCAAAGTATAATGACGTTGTGGTAGATGAAGAAATGGATATGATTAGAAGGCTACAAAACGGATCCGATGTTCGTGGGGTTGCTTTGCAAGGTGAAAAAGGTCGAAGTGTGGATCTTACTCCGCCTGCTGTTGAGGCAATAGCAGAAAGTTTTGCTGAATGGGTGATTAATGGATTGGAGAAGGAGAAAGATGTTAGGGTTTCTCTTGGAAAAGACCCTCGAATTTCGGGTAATATGTTGAGTGTGGCTGTATTTGCAGGACTTTCTAGAGCAGGTTGCGTGGTGTTTGACATGGGACTTGCAACAACACCAGCTTGCTTCATGAGCACTATTCTTCCTCCATTTGAATATGATGCCTCAATAATGGTATAATAGCTCTGTAATTCTGATGGATTATATTGCATTTCCGTTTCTCCGTCTTAGAGATTTTTTATTAATTTTAAATGATCTACACTAAGGGTACAAAAAAATTACCTTAACTGATTGACACCAAATAATGATTGCTACAACACCCTTGTTGTTTGAATTGTTGTATCAAATCATATTAACGTGGTTAAATTGTGATGAGTTACTTGATCAGTTATTATTTGAATTATTTTTATCAATTTCAGCCTTTGACTGATAACTTCAGCTTTGTTATCTTAAACATCAAAATTGAAAAAATAAAAGCTAAAGTATTGTGTTATACATGTAGATGACTGCATCTCACTTACCCTACACTCGAAACGGTCTTAAATTCTTCACGAAAAAGGGAGGTTTAACGTCACCAGAAGTGGAGGAAATATGCGACAAAGCAGCTCGAAAATACGCAAACAGGTTTGCTAAAGTATCAACGACACTGCAAATAACGCCGACCATGGTGGATTTTATGAGCGCTTACGCGGAGCATCTCCGAGATATTATAAAGGAAAGAGTGAACCACCCTTCCCATTATGACACTCCTCTCACAGGATTTCAGGTTCTTCTCTTCTTCTTTCTCAACTCTTTCAAACTTCGTCTTCATTATAGGCTGTTTTTGTCGTTGTCAACATTTGTTGGAGTACTTTTGTTTGTTTTGTTTTCTTGCCTGCATGAGTGTAAGCCATGCATGCATAGCCACAGCAACCTTATCTAAGTACAGGGCCATATTGACCATAAAAGCTAAGGATTCGTTTTCATTAATTAAAAGCTGGACATATATTTGGGCCTAGCTTTATCCCTTTTTGGGTTTTCTGCGGACCGTCACTCTAAGGCCCGTTTCAACATCAAATACTATTGAGACAAAAAAGAAAAAATGGCATGGTATGACAACACATAAGGAAAATTGGCAGTTTTTTGACCTTATATTAGGTTTGGCAATAGTAGCCCAAAAAAATTGGCACCCAATAACCAAAGTTATTTTCCTTAAATATAGCAATAAGAACCGCTACCTATCTCTTCTCTCCATTACTTCGTTGTGTAAGGCAATTGTTTTTCCACAACTGCATTCCGTATCTTCTTCCATAAATGGTGCCTTATTCTCTTTAGTTTTCTTTATTAAAAAATCTATCTTCTCTTCTCTCTTCTAAGTGGTTGCAACCATCCTCCTAAAAATTATATATTATGTCCATTTAAAAGTATCTAAATATTTCCAGAATCTCTTTATAGCCCTTTTCTGATTTTAGCAAAAACTAAGAGAGAAAAAATATATTTCAACTGTGTTTTTCTTCTCTCTTCCTTTTTTTTTGGTTGGATTTAATGACTGGGTGTGATTGAAATTGGTTGAAAATACCTAAATGAGGCTATATACAAAATTTGAGCAAGATTAGAAGTGATTTAGATTGGTTTCAGGTAAAAATTCAGACCTAAAAATCCAACTACGACATGTGTATATCACATTGTATATTATGTATATCAGTGTATATCACACACAGGTTTTTAAGGACGTCTGTGTATATCACTTTGTATATCGTGTATACAACATAATTTTTTTATGGACGCCCATGTATCTCACATTGTATATCGTACATATAACACAAATTTCCATGGATATACACAGATACACATAATATACATGAGATATCACTGATGTACATAGAGATATACAGTGGTTACAATTTTGGTATACACATGTTCGATGTGCTATACACTGTGATATACAAATAATATAATATTTTTATTGTGATATACATTGATCTAAAGGCATCAATAACTATATATAATTTTATATTATTGATATACAAAGAATGAAAATAAAATTTTAATATACTTGTTGATATAGACAAAGAAGGGAAAAAAAAGCTGTGACACACATATTATTATTGTGATATACATTTATTGGCTATTTGATGCCAATATCTATAACTAGGGCTATTTTCTGCCAATTATATGAGTATGTTGTTATACCACGCCAAAACCCCGACAAAAAATCAGGTGGCCACCCGTCATACTATTGAGACATAAGCTTTCACAAAAAAAAAAAAAAATACAAAAAATGCAAAAGCAAAATAAGAAGAAAATACAAAATGAAAAGAGGAATTTTTTAAAAAAAAAAAAAAAAAAAAAAAAAAAAAAAAAAAAAAAAATAAATAAATAAATTCGTAGCACAGATATTAAACCTCCCTTCAGCAAGTATGAGAAAATAAATCAATTGAACTCAAAGAATAAAATCTATAAGAGAAAAGGAAAGAAAGAGTGAGAGTGTTTGTCAAAGAAAGATCATACACTTTACATACGTATGACATAATGATTATGCATTTTATATACATATTATAAGTTCTATATGCGCTGCGTATAAGTATTATATATATATATATATATATATATATATATATAAGAACACTGAATGTGTATAAATAGGGTATACGCATTATATCAATGTAGATACACCTTTCATACAAATATGCATGTATAGTATATAAATCCCATATATACTTTTCTCAATACCCTTCATAGTCACTGTAATCCTTTATTCGTGACCATTTTCCTGTATAACAACAACAACAACAACAACCCAGTAAAATCCCACTCAGTAGGGTCTGGGGAGGGTAAAGTGTACCAAGACCTTACCCCTACCCCAGAGGGGATAGAGAGGCTGTTTCCGGGAGTCCCTCGGCTCAGAGACAATAAATCTGTGACAACAAAACCCGAAAAAATAATATCAGCAACGTGAGAGACAGCAAATAGATGGAAAAGCAGTACCACAAATATTATACGAAAGTGTGAAACACAACATAAATCGACCGCCCGACTACCCCTTAACCTACAACCCTTAACCTACAACCCTAATGCTCGACTACCCCTTAACCTACAACCCTAATGCTCGACCTCCACACCTTCCTATCTAGAGCCATGTCCTCGGAAATCTGGAGCCGCACCATATCCTGTACAGTATATGTATAATATACCATTTTCCTGTATAATATGTGTATAATAATATATAATCATTGTAATATACGCACACTGATTTTCCATATATTATGCGATTAGTATACACTTATTACACAATGTATGAATGAAGGATCACCGACAGTAAGGAGGTTCAGCTAACTTGGCCGAAAAAAAATCTTTTCTCGTGGATATATTTTCCTCCATTTCTCATCTTCTCTTCAAATCTATCCAGAAAGTACCATGCAATACCAGATCTAAAAATGACCAGCAATTGAAGTAGGTGGATATCATCGCCAAACTTTGGCCAAAATTTATTCACAGATGATAAGTATTTTTGCATATAAGTGGGGGAGGAGGAGATCAAGACGGAAAGGATAGAAGAAAAAAAAGGTGATATGTTTGTGGTTGCTATGGTGGAAGAGAAGAAAACCGAAAAGAAGATGGAGAAGATGGTAGTCTCTGATAGGTTGAAGAAGGTCGAAGGGAGGACACTAGAGATAGAAAATTCGCGGCTAATAAGAGGGTAGAAATGCAAAGAATTTTAGGATTTGACTATAAGCTGCTCTGGCAGGTGCTCTATTTGTAGCACGTGCTCCTCCTCGCCCCGTGCCTCTGCTCCTAACAACACCGGCTCTAGGGACAGCGTCATCAGTAACTACAACTCATGTCCTCAATATTTGTGAGAGAATAAAATGAAAAAGGCTCAAAATCTGAAATCAACAACTCGCATGATAGGAATGAAAGAAGTGATGTTTCCTAGTACTTCTGTAGCCTCTCGAAGATAAGTACCGATGTCTCTGTATCGATGCGCAAGACTCTACTAAACTTGCTTATGACTCGTAGCACGTATGAATACCAACTTGTCACTACCCAAATCCCTCCTGAGGAATTGTGATGGCACCTAGTCCTTATGACTAGGTAAGTGTAACACTTACTGAATTAATAATAGATTTTAACCATTCAACTATTACACATGAACAAGAAATTTTTAAATAAAGCCAACAATCCAAAGTAGATATATAATTTCCCAAAAACCGGCATTACAAGTCATAAGCTCTACTGAGTTCACTAAAAAATCACTAAATACAACTGTTCCGGAATAGAAATAAACAATACGAAGTAAAGTTCAGAAGGTGACTCCAAGGCATGCGAACGCGATTATATGTATACCTTGAATTCTCTACAGCAATACTCGATCAGATACCTAACAAACAACATGCTCCGAGGTACCTGGATCTGCGCAAAAATGTGCAGCAAGCGTAGCATGAGTACACCACAGCGGTACCTAGTAAGTATCTAGACTAACATCGATGGAGTACTGACGAGGAACAGTCAAGACACCTACTAGACATAATAACCTGTACAAGTATGAATTTAAAACTAACAGGGAACAATGCCAATATAAAACTAAACATAGTAAGAATAACAATATAATACTTTGCAATGGAAACTAGAAGCAACAATTAGCAAAAAGGGTCAAATAGGTAATAATGTCGTAAACTAAGCAAATGACAGTTTATATCTAGTGAAACCAAGTAAGGAAGAACAAGTAACAATCCAATAATCAACCGCTCTCACACAAGGTTTATACAAGAATTTTCTTGAGGTACTACACCTCAAATCATAAATCACGGGTCCCAAATCACAAACCTTAATAACTTGACATCTTGTGCCCACATTAAAAATTACAATCGCACGGAAAACTCACGTGCTGCACGGACGACTCACGTGCCAATACCATTAATAACTCATGTCAGAATGGAGAACTCACGTGCTAACAATTACAATACCCCATACCCGCATAGACAACTCACGTGCCAATAGTAACAATAGCTCATATCCGCAGGGATAACTCTGCCAATACCATTAATAACTCATGTCTGAATGGAGAACTCACGTGCTAACAATTACAATACCCCATACCCGCACAGACAACTCACGTGCCACTCGTAACAATAGCTCATATCCGTAGGGACAACTCACGTGCCAATAGTACAACTCACGCAATAATACATGTAAATGACCAACAAACATCAAGGTTCATATTCTCGGATTGATATAAGTGACAAATTAAGGTGTATTCTTGTGCAAATGATCTTACTTGAGTCAACAAGTAAGATTAGAGACAACGTATGGCACATTGGAAACAACACAACAAAACCCGTGATATGCATGACTCGCACAAGAAAGGCAGACTACCACACAAATATCATCAATAACAATGCCCCTAAGAATTCACAAATCATCCTCGACATAGCCCCATTGTCTTGCCACGCGCGCAACAATAAAGTAAATGTCCGCCTTGTCGCACCACACGCGCATAACAATTATCCTATCTTATCTCGCCACATGCACAAACCCATATAGCCCTCCTTGTCACGTCGCATGTGATAATATCAATAATAACAATAGCACGAAGAACTCACGTGCGAACACCCTAACAATCCTCTCAACAATACCATATGTGCCAAAAGTATAACAACATAATATAACAACCCACACCACATGGGCCCATATACCACAATATTTCCACAACAACAAATCCGATACCACAACCACACATAGCCCACGGCTCAACAACACCGACTACAACAAGAACAATAATAATACAAGGTACGATAAGTAAATTAACATAAGAATGACAACAATGCAATGAAGCGGAAGAATAAGCTCAAGGATGAAAGACATACAAGTAATAATAGGTACTTCAAGTCCAAATCGACTCTCAAAAGTCAAATTCTCCTTTTTCAAGTCGTAAACGAAATTTCTCAAAATTTCACTTTGATTATCACAAATTTGATGTTAAATCTCATATATAATCATGTAAAATAGTTAGAAATTTATCAAAATAACTTACCCAATGATTGTAAATGAAAATCCTCTTTCAAAATCGCCTCTTACCAAGCCTAGGGTTCAAAGATATGAAAATGAGACTAAAATCTCGTCCCTTAGCTCTTACGTCCAGTCACAGGTCTAGCAAATGCGACCTAGGGTTCGCAAATGCGAGCCTCCCAAATGCGAGGAAATAATCGCAAAAGCGAAGACCCTCACACCCCTGGTGTTGTTGCAAATGCGAGAAATAGTTCACAAATGCAAACTTTGGATATTTTGCAAAAGCGACCACTTGGTCGCAAAAGTGATCCCTCCCCCAACCCAGACCATTATTGCAAATGCGATAGGGAGTTTGCAAATGTTAACTATTCAGGCCACATAGTACATCGCAAAAGTGAAGAAGAACTCGCAAATGTGATATCAGAACACCAGCAAAACCCGAACCTCTATGAACTCTCCGAAATGCGTCTGAAACTCAACCGAGCCTTCGGAACTCCGATCCAAATATCAATACCAGTCTAAGAACATAACATGGACTCGTTCTTGCGATTAAATCATCAAAATAACATTCGAAATCATGAATCGGACTTCCAACACACATGAATCAACATGAAACTCAAGAACTTCTGAAAAGACAACTGCAAGCCCGATTCCTATCATACAACTCGGAATAATGTCAAACATTGTGGACAAGTTTGAAATGACAACGAACCTATTCCAAGCCCCGAAAGGGAAAGTCAAACATGAAAGCTATGAAGTCAACATACGACCAAACTTATCAAAATTCTAAGCCTTTAAATTGCCAACTTTCAGAAAAACAACACAAATCAACCCTATAGACCTCCGAATTCAATTTCGGACATACGCCCGCGTCCAAAATCACGATACGAACGTATCTGAGCCATTAAAATATCGTTGCGGGATCTTTTCATAAAAGTCAAACCTCGGCCAACATTTCTGACTTAAGCTTCTAAAAAAAGAATCAACCATCAAAATAGATCCAGAATCATCCGAAAATCGAATCCGACCATGCACGCAAGTCATAATACACAATATAATGCCACTCAAGACCTTGAACCACTGAACGTAATACTAAAGCTCAAAACAACCAATCGGATCGTTACAAAACTAAGAAAAAGACACAAAGAAATTAAGTAGCTAAAATTAACTACTCAAACATGGGGAGGGTTGGTTTAAGTTAGTTAACTTCTTCGTTTTTTTTTAAAAACCATTTTCGATTTTCTTTTTTTTAAATAAAAAAGTATATTTGTTTATTAAATTTCAGACAACATTATTAAGAACAATAGAATAAAATTTAAAATAAAAAAGATATTTTAAGAGAAATAAAATATATATCTTCTATTATATTACAAAAGGAAAATAGCAGGTAAAATAATAAACAAAGTATAATAAAAGTTTATATTTGTAAGGCAATTATCCTAAATATTGGATAATATAATAAAGAAAAATACAGAACAAAAATGTTATTCGATAACTATATAAGTCCCTTTAATTTACCAGCGATTTTATTCATTGAAATTCAAACAATAATATTTCATGAGTAATAAAATATATATCTTCTATTATATTATAAAAAGAAAGCGAGCAGACAAAAATATTAATCAAGGTATATGCTAATAAAAATTTCTATTAACAATGTAATAAAACTAAATATCGAATAATATATTAAAGAAAAATACAAAATAAAAAAGTTATTTAATGACTATATAAATTCTTTTAATTTAGTAGAGATTTTATTATTTGGTATATCATATTGACAAATAAGATGACATTTGAAATTTATTAAAGCAATATGATCTAATATGTTCAAACAAGCCCGATCATAATTTAATTAATACTTTTTAACATTGACCGCGCATCGCGTGGGTACAACTACTAGTTTATACAAAATGGTAAAGGAAATTCTATGATCATCAACCACAGAAATAGAAATGAAGCGTTAATCCTTACCATCTTGATCTTGTTGCTCCTCACAACAAACATGTGTGAACGGTTTCACAAAGTATGTGTCTGTTCAAAGTTTTGATAGTTAGCTCTGGGTAGAGGAAGTAGGTTATTTTTTCTAAAAAAATTATTTTTTGTTAAGTGACGAATGGTGGCAAAATGCAGATTATTGTTAATGCGGGAAATGGATCAGGAGGGTTCTTTACATGGGATGTGTTAGACAAGCTGGGTGCAGATACATTTGGCTCTCTCCACCTAAATCCAGATGGAATGTTCCCTAATCACATTCCTAACCCGGAGGACAAGACAGCCATGGCTTTTACCAGAGCCGCGGTGCTAGAAAACAAGGCTGATCTGGGCATTGTTTTCGACACAGATGTGGACCGGAGCGGCGTTGTGGACAGTAAAGGAAATCCCATTAATGGTGACCGGCTCATTGCACTTATGTCAGCAATTGTTCTCAAGGAACACCCTAGTACAACCATTGTAACTGATGCTCGCACGAGCATGGCCTTAACTAAATTTATTACGAATAAAGGAGGCCAACATTGCTTGTATAGAGTTGGTTATAGGAATGTGATTGACAAGGGTGTCAATCTTAACAAGGATGGCATTGAAACACATCTCATGATGGAAACAAGTGGCCATGGTGCTTTGAAAGAAAATCACTTTCTTGATGATGGTAAGTTTATTTTTGCATGCATGGTTAATTCCATTTTATGCCTAAATTCTTTTAAAACAAAACATTGCAGGTGCATACATGGTAGTGAAAATTATAATTGAAATGGTAAGAATGAAGCTTGAGGGATCAGAAGGCGGCATTGAAAGTCTTATAGAAGATCTTGAAGAACCATTGGAGTCAGCAGAAGTCAGAATGATTGTTCTTTCTGAGCCTAGAAATGCTAAGGCAAAAGCAGTTGAAGCCATCGAAGCATTCAGAACCCATATTGAGGTACATCATATCTCTTTATTAGTTGGAGTGACAAATTAAAGAGAGGCAAAATGAATACTAAAGAAATGTGTGTTCGTTCACCTCTGTAGCAAGGAAGCTTACCAGGATGGGAACTTGACGCCTGTGGAGACTGCTGGGTAAGTGATGGTTGTCTTGTGGACACTAATGATGATCCTGCTGCAATTGATGCTTTTATGTACAGGTATATACATACAAGATTGTAATTTTAAGAAAGATTATAACACTATACTTTTTCCCATTTTTTTCATTTGAAAATGTTGATTACAATTCAGGGCCAAAGTTTCAGATGAACAAAATGGGGAACATGGATGGGTTCACCTTCGACAAAGTATCCACAATCCAAATATTGCTGTTAATCTACAATCCACGATTCCTGGTGGATGTCAATTCATGGCAAAAGTTCTAAGAGATCGGTATGCTCTTTTGCCCTCTTGTATAAAGAGTTTAATTTACGTGCACAAATAGCGTATTACTTGCTCAATTTCCTCTTCTTCTGTTCTTCTTTTTTTGTGTGTATGACTAAAAAGAAAAAGTGTGTCAAATAATATGCCGACAAAATGAATACTGTTTTACATAAATAACTTAATAAACACGATATGATAATCAGAAATTACGATAATTGACCTGCTATAATCAGTTAAATTCACTCTCTGGTGTAAATAGTTTACACTATAAATTAAAATCTTTCTTCTCTCAATTGAGAAAAAGTTAGTAATTTCTTTCATATATACATCTTATTTTCAATTTCGCTGCCTTTTTCTTCTTTTGTTTCCTTTTGGCATTGGTTGCTGATTTAACAATTTGGCTTATTATGCATTTCTTATCTGATCTTTTAGGTTTCTCTTGCCTAGCGGGATGGATAAAATACTCGATATCAGTCAAGTCGATAAGTATGCTAGAAACGGAAATCTAAGCTAAGAATATGCATAAAGTATGCTTAGATTAAGATTTGAGTTATATCAGTAATGTACAATACAAGATTTTAGCTACGCCGTATCCCGTGGAAAAAAAACGAAAAGAAAACGACAGAAGAAGAAGAAGAAAAAGGGCGTGACAGTGTATTCTTCCGCAATGGACTAAGGCTATGCAATCAATTTACCCCTTATACTTCTTGAATCTCATATTCTTCCATGCATAAACTTTTAAGTTTGGTTGGCAATACATTCAAAGAGTTTCTTGCAAGAAGCATAACGTTCTCTTTTTTTTTGTGATTTAATAACAAAATTTGGGAATTCCAAGCAGAGGCGAATCCAGGATTCGATCGCATGACCTTAAGTAAGCAAGGAATAAGGGGCCAAATCTAGTGAACCACTTTACTTTTTTGACCATGGGTGCCATTAAGAAATATTAACTCTTTTTTCACAAATTATGTACGATTCGCTCCTAATTCTAAGGTCTTGGAAGAATATTACATGGACCAAAAAAAGTGGGAATATTAAAGTTATGTTATCGTAACTTGAAATTTTCAGCTCGATTACAACACCGTAATTATTCCTCATTCTTTCCTTATTCTAAATTGGGAAGCCAATTGAAAATAAAGACTAAATGGAAAAAGAGAAAAAAAAAAAAAAATATAAAACACCTTCTCCTACCATCAGGTGTTCACACACATACAAATGAAAAAGAACTCTGTTTGTTTTATTGTATGACGCTTTTATCTTTTTTAATCTGTTCTGAAAAGATTGATAACATTTTTGTTTATTTGAAGATTGTTTAAGCTTAAAAATCTAATTTTTCTCTTCATGACAAGCTCGTATAGCTATAAAAATTTCATGACATATAAGATCATAAATTCTAAGGGTATTTTAAATTTGATATGTGAAAATATCTGTCTTTCTTTCTTAAATGCCATGTCGATCAAAATTGATTGTGGGGGGAGGGGGGGGGGGCTGGCTGCACGTCGCGAGGCCTGGGGCAAGGGGAGGCGTGCAATACGAGGTGTATGGGGAGCATCTGCTCGTGCCTGGCTTGGCCAAGCCAGCTCTGAGGAGAGGTTAAGACCTTGCTAGGCACTCTCCAGGGCGCGATTATGTGACTTTTCACTTCTTTTTTAACTTCGTTATGTATTTTGAACTCCCGATTATGCTCACGATCACATCCTTCACTTTTATCGCGCACATCCCTATTAAAACAACAAAAATTCATAGAATATCAACTCTGTACTGCTCAAAAATCAAAAACAAAATAAAACCAAGTTAAACTACTCTACGAATTGGGTTGCCTCCAACGAGCATCTTAGTTCACATCATGGCATGACGATTACAACACAACCACGGGTTGCCTCCCAAGAAGTGTCTGATTTAACATCATGGCACGACACAGATTCCTCCTTGTCAACGGTCCTTCACATTAAGTAAATGGTTGAGATCACTCGTTCTTCCTGTTTACCTTTAAAATGGTAATTACAATTAGATTTGATTTTGTGGTTCTAAAAATACGTGATCTATTTTTATGCTAGTTGTTTAGGCAATAGATGTTAAGTAAGAGATTAGAAAACGAGATAAGAGCTTGAAAACAAGGTGATAACCGAACCAATAGGCTGATAAGCGGGGCCTCAAGCTTGCTATTCGGAGCCTCGAGGTCGAGTCCTATACCCTGTCGTGGGCAGTCGATGGAGGGACTAACAGTTTGATAGATTCGATGACGGCTCTTTACGGCCAATAATAAGCAATAAATGAAGAAAAATAAATTGAACACAATGAATGTAAGCAATAAATGGAAGTAATGAGCTCAAGAGAATATGTTAGAGAGCAAAGAGAATGTTCTTGTGTATTTAGTATTGAGCAACAGATGTCTACAAAATAACAAGGATCCCCTTTATATATATGGGGGGGGGGGGGAGGGGGGGTACATAGTACAAATCCATTAATTATAAAGATAAAGGGCTGACACAACCATTTAATGCCCTGATACAGGTCAAAGCTAGCTCACTAGACTTTGTCAGCTCTAGTCGTGCGCCTAGGGAACTTCCCACTTTTCTACCATAACCGTTGACTTGCACTGTCAGAGGTTGGACAACGATGGCCCCTCCGGATAAATCTCGACCGTAATCTCGAGCCTTTGGAAAGCTTGCTTACGAGGCGTTGTAATGGCCGAAAATTAGACCCTCCGATTTTACCGCATACAAATAGTCCTCGCGTTTCTTAGAGTGAAATGATAAGAAACAACTTTGATATCCATCTCTTCGAACGTTCCATGATGATGACATACTTATGACGTAAGCCTTTGTGATAACTGAGGCATCCCGTCGGTTCATCTTTCCATGGTCATTCAATGCACTGCCGATTCTCATTCCCCAAAGCGATAATATCGCCGCCGGTCCAGCTCCCAAAAATGCATTGATAGCGCCTGCCAATACATCTTGATGGCACCGTCGGTTACGCTGCCACCCTTTCTATAAATGGGAGCCTTTTGGAATCAATTTTTCATCCAAATGTTCTTCAACAGCCGTTCACCCCTTTCCTCTCTTCATCTTCATCCATTGTTATTTCCTATGTTTGAGGCCCGTGGCCTTAAGGTTACATGGCGGCGTTCCCATCAGTTAGGCCATGGCCTTTTTCCAGGGCTTTTCTCCACCGAGCGAGATTGTACTGATTTGTTGTCGTTGTTTTTTTGTTGACCCGAGGTGATGAGAGAGAAATCTCAAAGTGTCCTCGCATTAGAGAATATGCGGACTATGAACTTCCACTTATCTCTCCTAATTACCCGGTGTGGCGCCTCACTCTCTTTGCTTTCCGTGGAGTAAGGTGGTACTATCTGCTAACTATTGCATCCCGCACCGGTGCAACGTCTCAAGAAGTGGCTTCATAATAGTAGTGCTGGCTAAACCCGTACTAGCCAGATTTTTCACCCAGCCACTTCTTCATCCCTCTCCGCTCCTCTATTTTTTTGCTTATTTTTCGTCACTTTCCTCTTCTCCATCTTCTCCCTTGAAGATGCCGTTTTAGAATATCGAGACGAGGTCCCCGAGAAGGTGGTGTTTGAAGATACTGTCGCCGAGGACGTACCTCTGAGAGTAGACTAGGCTTTAGGCTTTTATTATATATGTACTTCATTGCTTCCTTGTTTCTGTGTAAGGACCCCTCGTGGGCTGTTGTAATCACATGTAAGGACCCCTCGTGGGCTTTTGTAATCATATGTAAGGGCCCTCCGTGGGCTTTTGTAATCATGTGCTTATGAATATAAAGATGTCTCTTCAATCTATTTCTGATTTATGCTATATTCCTTTCATCTGCGTTTGCAAAGAATCTGAATGCATGATTCTACAGACCGGTAGGAATATCGAGCCCGGGTGCTAGTGTTTCTTCAGGCTTTTGATTAATTAACACGATTTCCCATAGAACCCTTTCCCGCTCCTTGGACCGAGCCCGGATTGGATTGATAAACTCGGGCCGTCGGGATCCCCGACTTCAAGTTGAAGGAGAGTAGGGATTCAAACTTTCAATATGAGACTTAGCCCCTTTGACCCAGCGATAGTCCTCGACCGGGGGATTTGCTCGGAGTTATGAGAATAAAGGTAGCCTGCAGGTTTTCGAAAGCAGGCCTTGAGTGAGAGTCCACTCACACTCGGGCGACTTGGGAACCTGTTTTAAACTTAGAGAGAGCATAGCCTCAAGGTGTTGCAGATAGACCCCGGATGAGGGTACGCCTAGACTTGAGTAGCCCCTAGGTTAAAGTGACCGCGAAAATGTTAAACTTGATCCGAAGGTGAAAGATAGACCTAAGGAATTATTGATAGCTGTCACGCCCCCTTTTCCTCGCGAAATTGGGTTTGTGACATTTTGGTTGAGACAACTCGTTCCTTTTGGGAAAGGGGTTTGCATTTTTGAAGAGTCGCCACCTAACGATTTAAGGTGCGTTAGGGCACCTATAGGGTTTATTTATAACTACGTTTGGTAACCAGAGACAGGGTAAGGGCTTGAAATTGTCCTAAGGGGAATGTGTTAGGCACCCCTCAGGATCCACTAGTGTGGTTCTCGGCTGTCACGCCCCAACCTCGGGAGGCGCGACCGGCGTTCAATCGAGTGAACCCAACTGA